TTGCTATTATGCAGAGCCCATCATTGCAGCCACTGTGTTAATCCATTTTATTGAGGGTCTTCCCCTTTTTCACTGCTCTCTGCTTTATCAAGCTTGATATCCTTCTCCAGGGAATAGTGCCTTCTGACAACACGTCCAAAGTAGGTGAGACAAAGTCTGGCCATTCTTGCTTCAAGGAGCATTCTGGCTGCACTTCTTCCAGGACAGATTTGTTCATTCTTCTGGCAGTCCATGATATTTTCAGTATTCTTTGCCAACAACACAATTCAAAGGCATTAACTCTTCTTCAGTCTTCCTTATTCATCGTCCAGCTTTCACGTGCATATGAGGAGATTGAAAATACCATGGCTTGGGTTAGTCTTCAAAGTGACATCTTTGCTTCTTAACACTTTAAAGAGGTCTTTTGCAGCAGATTTGCCCAGTACAATATGTCATCTGCCCAGTGCATTAGTTCTTGACTGCTGTTTCCATGGATGTTGATTGTGGATCCAAGTAAAATGAAATCCCTGACAACTTCAATCTTTTCTCCATATCGTGGTGTTGCTTATTGATCCAGTTCTGAAGATTTTTGTTTTCTTTATGTTGAGGTGTAATCCATACTGAAGACTGTAGTTTTTGATCTTCATCAGTAAGTACTTCAAGTCATCTTCACTTCCAACAAGCAAGTGTATGTCATCTGTATGTTGCAGGTTGTTAATGATTCTTCCTCCAGTCTTGATGCCATGTTCTTCTTCATATAGTCCAGCTTCTTGGATTATTTGCTCACCATACAGATTGAATAAGTATGGTGAGAGGATACAACACTGATGCACACCTTTCCTAATTTTAAACCATGCAGTAGCCCCTTGTTTTGTACAAATGACAGCCAGCACTATATGAAGCAATAGTCTGTTAGGATCCATAGGGTTTTCACTGGGTAATTTATGGAAGTAGATTCTTCCTTGTCTCTCTTAATCTGGAAGCGCTATGGAAACCTGTCCACCATGAATGACCCTGCTAGAGTTTGAAATACCAGTAGCATAGCTTCCAGCATCACAGCAACATATATGTCACTGCAATATGACAAACTGACAGACAAGTGGTAGTCTTTCCATCACACTGCCCATCTTACACTCAAACCACCAGCACCTCTTGATTAGACAGGTGTCTGACTATGTAGCCCCCAAGGCAGTGGTTCTGGTCTATTCTCAATATGCTATGGGAGTGACCTTTTACAACTCAAATCTGACCACATGCCTTCTCTGCTTAAAATCCTTGAGTGGCTTCTCCTTACCTGCCAGACTCCTTACCTGGGCACACAAGACCCCTTGGGACCTTGTCTTCACTAACCTCATCTCCCACTCAGCACCACTCAGGCAGACCAAAATCTACAGTTACCTGGACACACTTGAAGACATTTCTCCTACAGTCTCAGGTCTCTGCTGGTGGCGATTGTGCCTCCTTGTTCTCCAGTTTGCACAGTCTTATAATTAGTGGGAACTCAATCAATCAATATTGGATTGATGGAAGAAAAACACTGAACTGGAAATCAGAGGACCTGGAATTCAAGCACTTGGTGGCTTACTTGCTTAGGGCAATTCTCTTTCTCTCTCTGGGTTTGAGTCTCCTTGATTGTAAAATGGAGCTGATTTCTGTCCTCCCTATTACACAGTGCCGTGACGAGGGTCAAGTAAAGGCTCAGAAAATGTGAAAGTCACTTCCCCTTTCTTAGGTCAAGGGCTTTGAGGTAGAGGTTTATAGGCAGGTTTTATTGGGATCAACATTGGAGGGAGCGAAGGAAGTAGAATTGAGCAGAGGGAGAAGTTGGGTTGAAAGGTAGTCATGACAGAGGCTTCAGCCTTCGTATCCTGAGCTCTGGAACTGGGATGATCTTTCAGACTTGTCCCAAATTGAGGCAAATGGGCTGAGACTGTGTACTCTGACACCTTCAAGTGAGTTGCCCCCAGGGGAGCAAGTGTGATCTTGGTTGAGGCAGCTCCCTCGAGCTGAGAGCAGCTTCAGTAGAGGGCCTTGGGCCATCAGCAGCCAGTCCTCCCAGCAGCTAAGGAATTGAGTGCCTTGACTCTAGAAGGGAGACCACAGCATCCACCGTGGGCCCTGGATTGTGTAGCTGTGAATAAGCTGTGGAAATGCCAGGCATCTACGCCCAGCATCATTGCCACAGCCCTAAATGATCTGCTTCCCCCACTGTTCCAACCCTCCCCACTCACTCACATCACTCCAGCCATACTATCCTTTTTACTGTCCTCTAACACTTCATACACACTCCCGACTCAGGGCCTTTGCACATGCTGTTCACTCCGCCTGGAACACTCTTTTTGCTCAAGCTTTTCCTCCACAGAAGGGCCCACCCTGATCGCCCTGGCTGAACACAGCACCTTCCATGGCTCTGTCTTCTTGCCCTGCATTCTTTGTCTCCCCACCACTTACCACTACCTGAATGGTATTACATTTGGTTATCTAATAATTGTGTGTCTCTACCACTAGAAGGTAAACCCCATGAGGGTAGAGGCCTCTTCTATCTTGTGGCATCTTCTTTATACCTCCAGGACCTAATGCTGGGCTTGATATCATAACTGATGCCATTGTTGGATGAGTAGCAACTCTAATGTTTACAGCCAAAATGCCGCAAACTCATCTGGCCTTGACTTGGCCCATTACTGACTATCATTAGCATACTTATGTCATAAACTAGGAGCTCTGGTGGCGTAATGCCTAAGGCATCTGACTGCTAACCAGAAGGCTGGTGATTCAAACCCACCAGCCACTCCTCGGAAGTGATACCATAGTGATACCGCTTGTCACATGCCAGGCACAGCCAGGAATAAGTCCATTGAAGTGATCACAGGTGAATGGCGGAAAAGGGATGTAGAAATAAATGCATCCAGTCCCTTACCAGAAAGTGTCATTAGCAAGCAGGCTTTGAGCTGGGGATCACAAAACCTTTCACCAGACTTTGTCCTAGCAGGTCATTTGTTTGCCAAGTGGCCACCCTGTATCCAGCTGTGTAGCCTGGCCTCAACAGCCATCCACCTAATAGTTCTGTGCCAAGCCTCTCCTTGTTAAGGGAGGGTCTTCTTTTTGGGACATTGCTCCTCTTTTTGTCTGCTTAGACCTCCAGCCCCCTTCTGTTCTCTGGGCCCCCAACCTGGTCTGTCATCTCCCAGGGGCATTTGTACACCCTTTTACCAGCAGAATAGAGTGGACTTTGCAACACAAGGCCTGAGTTCAAGTTCCAGATCCACTGCACACTAGCTATGTGACCTTTGGCAAGTCACTCAGCCTCTCTGAGCCTCAGTCTCCTGACGTATAAAATGAGGTTAAAATTAAACCTCCTTGAGTTTGATTCTGGGAGTTCTGGTAGCATAGTGCCTAAGGCATTTGACTGCTAACCAGAAGGCTGGTGGTTCAAACCTACCAGCCACTCCTCAGAAGGAAGATTGGGCAATTGTGATTCTCCATTTAAAAGCACATAGCTCAATGCCAGTGCATCCTGGGGTACGACAGACATTAGTGTGATCTGAATCTTCGTGAAGCTTCCTGACCTCCCTCCCCACCACCAAATCAGATGTGACATCAAACGTGACGACTCCTGTCATGCAGCTTTCTTTACTTCTCTCGTGGCCCACCCCGAGTGGCAAAATTACACAGCAGTGAGGAAGCGTGTGCTAGAGAGATGCTTATAGAGGCCAGCTGCATCCTAATGGGCAAAGTTGTAGGCTTGGGGACTCCAGTACAGTCAGCCAACCATTGCCAGCCAGAGCACAAGCTCTTCCAATTTGTCAAGAGAAATTACAAATGCAGATATTTGCATGTGCAACCATCCACTTTTAAATGACTGTCCACCAATTTAATGAAAAACAATCACTGTGGTAACCAACTAAAGACACATCTATGCACCAGTTTGACTCTGGGAAGCATCAGAGTGGGGATTTGAATCCCAGCTCCATTCTTTACTCTGTCCCTGACCTGGGCCAGGTGACAGTCTCCTCTCTGTGCTTCAGTGTCTTCACCTGTAAAAGGGTATAACAATAGTAGCATGAATTGAGAATTACCTGTGTATCAGGCCCCACTCTTTCTAGGCATCCTTTGCCACCCTCTCAGTAACCCAATGAGACAGGTATGGTTGTGAGCCCTGGGTTAGAGAACTGATTGAAAGTGGCCCAGCCAGTGTGCGAACTGTTAGCCTCTATGCTAGTCTGGCCCACCTGTCAGCGTCATCATGAGGATTAAGTGAGAATCCTTGTATAAGGCACTTAGCACACTGTCCTTTGCAGAGTAAGCACTCGAGACATTGTGCTTTTGTTTTCTGCCTGATATAGCCCATTTACCTGTATTTGTCCATTCACCAGCATGAAAATGGCAGCTTTCTGAGGGTAGGAGGTGTCTCAGTCAACTTGCCACTGCCTCCTTAGAGTCTTCCAGATTGGCTCAGTGAGTTTCAAGCTGCTGAGAGAGAGGTTTGGTGGAGGGGTGCCAAGGTCCTTCTCAGCCCCCATTTCCCACTTTCCTTTGTGGAAGAAGAGGGGAAGAGCCCACAGTGGTCTTGGGGGCCTGGCTTTGTGGGGAGGACACCAGAGGTACTGTCCCTGCCCTGGGATCTCCTCAGGAGCCCAGATTGACTTGGGAAGCAATTAACAGAGAGCAGAGAAAAGCAAGTCATCCTGGGCTTGAGTGTGGGGTGTAGGGAGGCCATAACAGGTTTATAGGCCCTGTGGTTGGGGTGGATCTTTTTCAGAGCACTCCTTAGACATCAAACTCTGAGACTGTGGTGATGGTGCCTGCTCCATCTGCTTCTTATTACCCAGACCTGGTGGTCAGTTGAAGACGGTTAACTGCTTGTCTTTGATCCAGGAGCAGTCCTCATGCTACCTCCCCCCCCACCCCCATTGTGCAGGCCCTATCCCCTTGCCCCTCCTCCTCCCCTGGCCCACAGATGTTCCCCCTGGCTTAGCATTTACAAGCTCCTAGTGACTCCTCTTCTTTGTTTCCTTGTGCAGAAATGGAAGCATCACTCGCGGCAGCGCCGGGAAGCCCCAAACACATCTACAGGGTGTAACTGCCCACCAGGTAAGGAGCCCTGCAGTGCAGTTGAGGTGTTCCTAGGAGGGGACCTTGTCCCAGAGGTTCCTCAAAGGGATGCTTCTCTGGCCACACCCCTGATCATTTTTCATTTGAAAGATGGGAATGATAATATTGGTGCTGTTTACCTGTCATCTACTCATTGATCAACCATCCAGCACCCAAATCGTCCATCCATCCATCATCCACCCCCCCATCCCCCCATCCATCTATCCATCTCCCATCCCTCCCTCCTTCTCTCCTCAATCCTCTTTTCCATCTATCTATCCCTCCATTTATTCATCCAACATCTATCCACCCACCATTCATTTAACTTTTCTATAAGCTTGACCTGATGTCTACCAGGTTGTTGTGAAAGCAGATAAGATGACAACTATGGCAACGTTTTGGAAAGCATGGAGTGCTATTTAGAGTCAAAGGAAAGATAAACCCCATGAGGGCAGGAACCTTGCTTGTCACACTCACTATTGTGTCTCTGATTCCTGATTCATAGCAGGCATACAGAAATGCTTGTCACCTGAATGAATGACTCCATCACTGTGAACCTTGTTTGTGCCAGTTAGGTAGCTAAGAGTTAAGTGTGTTCACTGTATGGCATCTAAGCTAAACACACATGTACACATCGCGGACACAAGGGATAAAGAAGTCTGAAGCTGGAGGCTAGGAGTGATGTGGTGTAACAAAGTTAACCTATATAATCTGGATTCCAATTCTGCTTTTGCTGTTGACAAGTCCCTAATGGGCAGATCACTTACCAAGGGTGCCTGTTCTAGAGCTCTGTCCTCTGTATCATATGGCCTCCTACTGCCCCGTGGTCACTCATCTGTTTAACAGCTAGCTACATGCTAAGTACCTGCCCTGTTCTGGTTACCACATTGGATGTTATCTTCAATTGTACTGTCCACAGTTAATAACATTAATAAGTTCTAGTGATTCTTGACCATTATTATTAAGTTATGAGAATTATAGATGTGTTAAGTATCACTATTTCCTAGAACAACTGGGATGGGCTGTTCCCCTTTGGGATGTGAAAGGAAACACTAAAAAAAGGTTAGGGGATAGGGTGTTGAAACTGTTCTGTGGACACATCCCATGTGAACACATGGCATTATGCATTTGTCAAAACCCACAGAACTTTACAACACAAAGGATGAACCCTAATGTAATCTATGGACGTTAGTTTAATATAATGTATTAATATTGGCTCATCAATTGTAGTAAATGTGTGCTCCATGAATGCAAGATATTAATAATGGGAGATATGGTGTGCTTGGCAGTGGGTAGGGTAGATGGGAACTCTCTGTCCTTTTTGCATAATTTTTTGTAAAACTAAAACTGCTCTTAAAAAAAAAAATGAGAGCAACAAGGTAGTGCATTTAAACAATTACAGTGGGTTTTGCTCTGCTCTGGAGCTTTGCAAATCAGAGCATGGCCCCTTTGATACCAGCTGTAGGCAGCTGGCCAACAGTAAGAATTGAGAGACATTGGTCACCCTCACCCCAGTCCCCAAGCCCGGGAAGAGAGGCTGACAGATGGTGAGCATATGGGCGTAGGATGGAAGACCACATTCCACTGCAGAGTGAGTGGGCTGGGGCGGGAGTCACAGTTCAGGGATGCTGCCCCAGGAGATGGTAAAGGGATTCAGCCAGCCTCTGCTAGAAGAAGGGTCATCTGGGTTAATTACAAGGGTCTAGAAACCCTGGGAATTTCCCTCCTCTCTCTGGGCCCAGGAGATAGGCCCTCGGATGTGGGGAAGCTTTCTGGAAAGGAACGCCAGGATTAATAAGATGTGATGAAATTGAGGGTGGGTGCAGGACTGGGCAGAGTGACCATGTACTTCAGGTCCCTGGGACAATAATCATTGTTCCCATAACTCTCTGGCAATTGTAATACTTTTTCACTGAAGGTGTAGAATGCTGGTTAAGGGCAGGAGATTTGGAGCCACAGAAAACATAGACTTGATTTCCCCTTCTGACTTACCTTCAAGGAGCTATTTAACCTCTCTGTGACTCACTTGGAGTCCTGGTGGCTCAGTGGTTAAAGAGCTCAGCTATTAACCAAAAAGTCAGCTGCTCCATGGGAGAAAGATGAGGCCATCTGTTTCTGTAAAGATTTATAGCTTGGAAGCCCTGTTGGGGGCAGTTCTGTTCTGTCTTAAAGGGTTGCGATGAGTTGGAATCAACTTGACATCAGTGGGTTTAGTGTTGAGTTTGGTGCCTCAGTTGCTTTATCTGAAAAACGGGGGTACTACTCACCTCCTGTGCATGTGGTGAGATATGTAAGATCATTCTGGACAGCACTTAGCACCTTGTCTGATTCTTGTGTTATTATTGTTGTTGTTATTATTTTTTTCCTCAACTGCCTCTTGTACTTAAAAGATGCCCAGAAATCTGTACCAAGCATCACATCCTGATGTTTGGGGCAGTGTGGCCTCACGTTTACACCAAGGCAGAAGCTTGCCCTTACCCCTTCTCTGCCTGACTGGGGAACCCACAATAGGTGCCCGATGTCCTCAGTGTCCTGCTGGCCATCAGCGTGGGTGCCTGACAAATGTCTCAATGCTGTGCTTAAGAAAGTCAGGCTCAGGTGGTCCTGGGGAGGCTGGGAGTTGGGCTGGGAGGTGGCAGGAGGAAGAGACCTCACGTCTGGGACCTGTGTAGAACCCAGCAGTGTTGAAGATGAGGAGAAAGCTGTGGACAGTGTGAGCAACTCAGATGGTAGAGAGAGGGAGGGTGCAAAGGAGGACAGGCTTAGAACAGATCCTCTGTGGGGACTGAGGAAAGGAGGAATGAGTCACTGTGAGGACAAGGTAGCCAGGAGAACAGAGGACAAAGAGCAGTCTCCAGGGAGGTATGCCCCAGGATCTTGAGGAATTTCCCAGAGGGCACTCTGACCGGAAGTGTAAGTCAGAACCAGGGGTTGTCATTTACCGTTGGGTTGATTCTGACTCATGATGGCCCCATATGTGCAGAGTAGAACTGCCCCATAGTGTTTTCAAGGCTGTGACCTTTGAAGGAGATCACCAGGCCTTTCTTCTGAGGCACTTCTGGATGGATTCGAATGGCCAGTCTTTCAGTTAGTAGCCAAGCGTTTAACCAATGATGCCACCCAGGGACTCTGAAGCAGGGAGTAGGTCATAATAGAGAATTTAAAAAGAAGGCCCCAAGAGCAAACTTAGAAGGGGACAAAGGTGTTCTTCCAGCTCTTTGGAGAGTCAGACCAGGCACAGAGGGGTCTCAGACCATGGAATCCTGGGGTAAAGGCTTTTCCTGGTATGGGCCAGGCCTTTTGGGCCCCAGGGCCTGCCTCCCTCTGACAACCTGAGGCTTCCCACCCCATAGCAAAATACCCTCCTGGACACAAAAGCCAACCCATTGTGATGACAGTTAGTGTTGCTGTCCCCTAAATGAGACCCTACTTATGTGTCAGGTGTAGTACTGAGCACTTCATGTCCATTGGTGGCCTTCCCCAGAACACTAAACATAAGCAGAATGGAGTTCTGACATTCTGAAATGTTTGCGAGCCACCCCCACCCCCCCACCCCCAGTTTTTCACTAAGGCACTGCTCTCATTCCTGCACCTAAATCGTGCATCTCTATTTGCTAAGGAGCTGCATTTAGAAACCACTCCATGAACACCTGTAAGGCCTGATACTTGTGGAGGGACTTGTACATTTGTAAAGTGCAGCATTATACACTTTTGTCTTGCCAGCTCCTGATACTGTGCCCGCACAGAGCAGATGTTCAATAAATATTCAATAAATTATCATCAACAATCATCTCCACTTGGTTGGGTTCTTCTGCCTGTCTCCATCTGCCAGCCAGTTGGTTTCTGACCACCTCTCACCACCCTCAGTCTTGCCTGATGCCCAACTCTCCACTATTGGAACACAGCAAATAAGCACTCTTCCTGCCCACTGTAGCCAGCTGGGATCAGAGCCTAAAGCCCCAGCCCTGTACCTGCCCCCAGTTTGCCTCTGCAGCCAGCTGGGCTGAGGCCGCAGTCCTGTGGTGGGTGTGTTCTTCTTTGTGGCAGCCTGGGGCTCCTGGGAGGCACCCAGAGGGCTTGGGACACATAATCTTGGGAAGAAACCCACCTTCTTCCCTTCCTACTCTGACCTTCACCAGCATCCTCCCAGGGTCCTCCCTGTACCAAAATAGCCATCCTCTAGTTGAGGTCTGGCTGTATCCTGCTTCTCTGCTGTGTGTACTGTTTGCCAGTAGAGCGATGGGTCTGCAGGCTTGGGATGGGATACCAAAGATCAGGCCTCATCAGAAGGGTAGCAGTAGCCAGCAGTTCAGAGTAGGTGTGGGCCATTTGCAAAGCCCACGGCCTGGTGGGGCAGGGGAAGGGCCTTGGGAACATACACACTGTGGGACTTCCCAGGCCACTTGAGAAGAATACAAAGATCAGGGAAACTCTCATGCTCTGTCCCTGTTCTTATTAAGAAATGAGGAGCCAGACAATATAAGCTCCAGCCATTGAGGAAGCAGCTACTTCAGGTCAGCTGTGCTGAGGCTAGGTGGAGCTGGCCCTTTTTTAAGTCCAGGGTGAGTCTCACTGGAGCTAAATGGAGCTGACCTTTTGTCAAGTCCAGGGTGGCTCTCGCACACAGAGGGAGTGATGCTCAGCAAAGCTGTTGTTGCAAATCACAGCCCTGCCTGGGCTTCAACTCCACAGGGAAGGCGAGGGCAGAATTAAGCACCGACCACCAGGTCCAGAGGTATGAGCTGGAGCAGTGGGAGCCCAAGTCTGTGCTTTAGCGCCATAGCCCTCATTGGTGTAGGGGATGGATGGGAGAGAGAAGCATCATCTTCAGCCAGTCTAGTTTGTTTTAGAGTATGCTGGTGAGTGTTGAGGAGCTCTGGTGGTGTAGTGGTTAAAGCATTCGGCTGCTAACCCAAAAGTCAGTGGTTCAAATCTGCCAGCTGCTCTGCAAGAGAAATATGAGGCAGTGTGCTTCTGTAAAGATTTATAGCTTTGGAAAT